CTCTGACTGCTGCTATGACACACAATGACCACTAGATGGAGCCCAACATGAAGAAAAGAACTGCTGCCACATACAAGCATCAAACTGTCCTGATGCATGAGAGTGACTGTAATAAATGTATGAACTGGAGCATCTTATTCACAAAGAAGATACGACGACTTTAACCCTTTATAGGGAACTCATTGAATACTTTGAAATTTAAAAATTCAACCTTACAGTGTTATTGGGGGACATAATAAAACTTTATTTCTGTTGTAAATTTTTTTTTTAAATGTTAATGTCATGTAAAAAATCAACAAAGTTACCATATTTGGTTCCTTGCCCTTTAGTGGTAAAAAGAAATCCAAGAAGTGTATATACACAAATACAAGAAAAACACCTATAAGGTGAAAGGAACATGTATGTTTCAACATTAGAACATCACTTTTAGAACATTACAACACAAGTGCTGATACAGACACCTGTCAACATACGCAGTATCACTTTAGACACCATTAGGCCAGTTTGTCATGGTACCTAATAAAGCAGTTACGCTCACTGTTCATGCAAGGTGGACCTTGCAGACCCTGTAGGCCATTTGACCTTAAAATGTTGCCTTTGCTGCTGCAGTACTTGCAGGTCTGGCGTTTGGCATGTACAGGGGCATGGAAGAGGGACATCAAAGCGCACAGCCTCATTTGGTGTGTGCTGCGGTGTCCCCAGACAGGCTTAGGGACATCAGAACTGGTGGTCAGGCTTTCAACAGATGAAGATGAGTTTCTTCTGGAGCTAGATGTGGCAGGCATCTGGCCGCTGGCACACCTGAACACCTGGATTCTGAAATCTTTCAGAGGCTGGCCATTCACTCCCAGGGCCTTACAGTCCCGCCTGTACACAACCCAGGCATTTGTGATACTGACGTCAATGACGTATGCAAACAGACGCAGGTACCACCTCTTGGACTTCATGGGGTGCGGTAGAGGTGTACCAGCATGTCACTCTTATCAATGCCCCCCATGTTGGCATTATACTCCTGATGACAGCTCACAGGCTCCTTCTTCTTGGTCTCACTGCAGTACCTGATGACTGAGGACATCGGCTCCACCCCATGTCTGTTGACAGCAGAGTGACCACTTTGTTGTCCTTCCACCTGACGGCCAGTATACCATCATCACTGGTAATGTAGTCACAAGTACCACGAGGGACAGCCTTTTTCCCCATCTCCTTGATGGACTTGAGTGGAGGATTTCTGATTCTATTGTCCCTGGCTGTCCCTGTGTACTGCAATTCTGATTCTCGGAGGTACCGCACTAGCTCAAGGCTGGTGAAAAAGTTGTCAGCAAAGATGGCTGTGGTGGTGAGGCAGGACATGGTACTGGCGAGGACAGCGACAATCTGGCTGGTGGCGCCCAAGACTTTTGTTCAGGCGTCTGGGGGACATCGTGGGCCTCGAGGGTAGTCTTGCCCTGGTGTAGCACATGTCATGGATGAAGCCATCCTCAGAGGCCCTGGCAAACAATTAAAACCCCACTTGTCTGGCTTGTTTTTGATATACTGCCTCAGACAAAATCAGGGTCTGCCACATCGTCATCTTCCTCCTCGTCATCATCACTGATGGCAGGGTGGGCCGGCATGACGAAGTCTCCTCCTCTTGGCTAAAACACCCACGCAGTCATTGCCTAAAAATTACACACACTATAACACCGTTAAAAGGTCACAAACTGACAAATACTCATATTCACTATTTAAAGCTTTAACCGCTTGTATGGTGTTCAGGTCTGTGGGACCCATTTTCATTTTACTATCTAAAGAAAAATGATACGATTCATTATTTTTTCAAACTCTGACTCATTGGCCTTGGCTCATTTTCTGTGAAGAACATATATGAGAACACATGAAGAACATATATAGAACACATTTTCAATGACCACAACACTGTACACCCCCCTAAACATTTATATTACATACAGGATGTTCGGCGTCCATATTAAAATGTATAAATACATAATATACTGATATATATATATATATATATATATATATATATATATATATATAATATATATAAATATAGCTTTGTCAGTGTGGTTCCTTATCACAACTGATCAAGATGGCCAAAAGATTATCTTCTCAGAGGGCCTTGCAATTGATTTTGGTAAAGAGAGAAGAGTGTGTGTGAGGATTCTGAAAATTCAGAGTGTGACAGTGACTTTGAAGAAGAGGATGAGATTGAGCATCAGCTAGGTCCAAAAGGTAAAGGGCAAATATTAACCATATATGTTGTTTATATTGCTTGTAATTGGGATGAAGTCAACATCTGTTGAGTATTTAACTAAAATTGTTTGATTGTGTTGAATTAAAAACCCCAAAATGCAGCAGACCCACAAACACTGGCTGAATAGCTCAAATATGAACAATAAGACCACATGCTTCTCGACCTTACTGAGGTACAGCAGGGTGGCCATATGTAATGTGTGAAATAACCAAAAATAGTCACTTTCCCGATAAAGGGTTGAGACTCTCTTAGATCAGATCAGTCTATCGAAGCTGGTATTTCAGCTCTGTGACTCAGAGGAACAAATGAGCTGCAGTTAGAGGCGGAGCCACAGCTGAGGAGGAGAGCTTCAGACTCACTCTGAAGAAATGTTTGTCACGCAGCCAGAAAGGTCTCCGTTTCTCTTCAAAGAAAGTAAACTAACTTCATCCAATCTTTGTCAATGACACAGCAGAGTCTCTGCAAACACTGGTGAGTACAGCTGATCATGTTTACACTTTGAACAACCAGGATTTACACACACACACACACACACCACACACACACACACACACACACACACACCACACACACACACACACACACACAACACACATACACACACACATACACACAAGCAGAAGAAGGAGAAGTAAAGTAGAAGGGATGGCTCTGTCAACTGAGTCAGCCGCGCTCCCTCACTCCCATGACAGTGTGTGTGTGTTGCGTGTGTGTGCGTGTGTGTGTGTATGTGTGTGTGTGTGCGTGTGTGTGTGCGTGCGTGTGTGCGTGTGCGTGTGCGTGCGTGCGTGCGTGCGTGCGTGCGCGCGCGTGCGTGCGTGCGTGTGTGCTGTGTGTGTGGCGTTAGATCAAACTGCTTTCTCTTGTTTGGTGTGTGTTGATCTCTCAGTGAGTGTCTCTTTTCCTCTCAGACTTCAGATCAGAACATGGACGTGTGTTTAGAGGACGAGGAGGATGGAGCAGAGTCTCCTGTACCCAGCTGTCTGTCTATGAAGAGTGATCTGTCCAAACATGAACCTCCATACTTCAGTAAAGAACCTGGACCCTCAGACACAAAGTAAGAAAACTTACCAACTCATTACACTTTCAGATTTAAGTTTTACTTAAATTAATCTGCTATCTTAAACTTTCTGATTTAAAGAGAAATCATTTGATATTAAAGAGACATATTCTCCTCCTCCTCCACCTTTTCAAACAGTCCTCCTCCACCTTTTCAAACAGTCCCCCCTCCACCTTTTCAAACAGTCCCCCTCCACCTTTTCAAACAGTCCCCTCCTCCACCTTTTCAAACAGTCCTCCTCCTCCACCTTTTCAAACAGTCCCCTCCTCCACCTTTTCAAACAGTCCTCCTCCTCCACCTTTTCAAACAGTCCCCTCCACCTTTTCAAACAGTCCTCCTCCACCTTTTCAAACAGTCCCTCCTCCACCTTTTCAAACAGTCCTCCTCCTCCACCTTTTCAAACAGTCCTCCTCCACCTTTTCAAACAGTCCCCTCCTCCACCTTTTCAAACAGTCCCCTCCTCCACCTTTTCAAACAGTCCTCCTTCACCTTTTCAAACAGTCCCCTCCTCCACCTTTTCAAACAGTCCCCCTCCTCCACCTTTTCAATCAGTCCCCTCCTCCACCTTTTCAAACAGTCCCCTCCTCCACCTTTTCAAACAGTCCCTGTCCTCCACCTTTTCAAACAGTCCCCCTCCACCTTTCAAACAGTCCTCCTCCACCTTTTCAAACAGTCCCCTCCTCCACCTTTTCAAACAGTCCTCCTCCTCCACCTTTTCAAACAGTCCTCCTCCACCTTTTCAAACAGTCCCCTCCTCCACCTTTTCAAACAGTCCCCCTCCTCCACCTTTTCAAACAGTCCTCCTCCACCTTTTCAAACAGTCCCCTCCTCCACCTTTTCAAACAGTCCCCTCCTCCACCTTTTCAAACAGTCTCCTCCACCTTTTCAAACAGTCCCCTCCTCCACCTTTTCAAACAGTCCTCCTCCACCTTTTCAAACAGTCCTCCTCCCCTTTTCAAACAGTCCCCCTCCTCCACCTTTTCAAACAGTCCCCTCCTCCACCTTTTCAAACAGTCCTCCTTCACCTTTTCAAACAGTCCCCTCCTCCACCTTTTCAAACAGTCCTCCTCCCCCTTTTCAAACAGTCCCCCTCCTCCACCTTTTCAAACAGTCCCCTCCTCCACCTTTTCAAACAGTCCCCTCCTCCCCCTTTTCAAACAGTCCCCTCCTCCACCTTTTCAAACAGTCCTCCTCCCCCTTTTCAAACAGTCCCCCTCCTCCACCTTTTCAAACAGTCCTCCTCCACCTTTTCAAACAGTCCTCCTCCCCTTTTCAAACAGTCCCCTCCTCCACCTTTTCAAACAGTCCTCCTCCCCCTTTTCAAACAGTCCCCTCCTCCACCTTTTCAAACAGTCCTCCTCCACCTTTTCAAACAGTCCTCCTCCCCCTTTTCAAACAGTCCCCCTCCTCCACCTTTTCAAACAGTCCTCCTCCTCCACCTTTTCAAACAGTCCTCCTCCACCTTTTCAAACAGTCCTCCTTCACCTTTTCAAACAGTCCCCTCCTCCACCTTTTCAAACAGTCCTCCTCCCCCTTTTCAAACAGTCCCCTCCTCCACCTTTTCAAACAGTCCCCCTCCTCCACCTTTTCAAACAGTCCCCTCCTCCACCTTTTCAAACAGTCCCCCTCCACCTTTTCAAACAGTCCTCCTCCACCATCAAACAGTCCCCCTCCTCCACCTTTTCAAACAGTCCCCTCCTCCACCTTTTCAAACAGTCCCCCTCCACCTTTTCAAACAGTCCCCCCCTCCACCTTTTCAAACAGTCCTCCTCCACCTTTTCAAACAGTCCCCCTCCTCCACCTTTTCAAACAGTCCCCTCCTCCACCTTTTCAAACAGTCCTAAAATTAGAAGACAGCTCATTCTCCCCACAAGCATTTTAAAAAGTAGACCTCTTATTTTTCAATGTAAATAATCCTCGTCAGTCATGTTCCTTTGATCGTGGGATGGCCAGACTCATGATTCAAATAATATAATTTGTGCAGCTATAGTATAAAGACCCTCCTGCCAGGGACCATGATGTGTTCAGGTTCAGGTTGTGTCAAAATCAAGGACTGCCTTTATGTAACAATCTGACCCAGGACAGTAGAGACAGAATCCATAAAGAGAAGGACAACAAATGAAACCGTAACATCACTAAGGGCACACTCACGGTAGGTCATCTGTACTGTGCCCAAGCACGTTTGACCCCCAAAGTCTAGTTCCTTTGAGTGTGAGTTCTCTGATTCCCTATCACGGATGGAAGAGGTGGGCTTAGGCATGGTACGGTTTCTCATGCACAAGCAGAGTGTTATATCTGTATCTGACAAAAATAAGCCTCAAACTCTGTAAAGTAGCTGTTGTGTTCTCTGTGTGGTTCTACGATGTGCGGATGCAGACTTGACGTCTGTGCCCTGTTACTGCTGATCCACCACAATGTAATTCAAAATGTTTCACCACGTCTAACCTCAGTTCAAAGGCCGACTAACCCGAGCCCAGCTGTCTGAAGTGACAGTGAAACTGTCGATGACAGGATCAGACTCTGTGAAGAAGCTGCACATGATGTTCAGTCTGCTTTAATAAAAAAAACTGCACACAGATCATTAATGTTACAAAAGACAGTGAGAGAGAAAATGTTGTTCTTTAGTCTTTATGAAAGCAGGAGGCTTAAAACACAAGAAACAATCATCTGACTGCAGACTATGAGCTGAATACAAAGAAGGCGTTACCTGCTCTCTATGATCATCTGAGTGTTTAGATCGTATTTAATAAATCTTAATTTTTCTTCAAATCAGTCAACAATCAGTTTAGTTCTAAAGACATGTCTTCACAGGGGGACGAAGAGGACTCATGTTATAGACGAGCAGCCGTCCTGTCCTGTGTGTCAGGACGTCCTGAAGGATCCCGTCTCTACCAGCTGTGGACACTGGTTCTGCAGACAGTGCATCACCTCATACTGGGACCAGTCTGGTTCACCACGAGACTCGTCCTGTCCTCAGTGTGGAAAAAGATCCAGAACAGGACCTGGACTGCAGACAGTCAGTCAGAGCAGCACTGAACAAAGTAAGACTGTACACCTTTCTGCTTCTGTGATCTCCTCCTAAAACAGGACTTTTATTGGTAAATGTAAAAAGTATAGAAATTAAAACTCTTTTTTACTTCTTTTACAAAAACATTTGAAAACAATAATCAGATTCTATCATTCTCTCTTTCAGTTGATAGAGGTCTGCAGGAGGTTACAGATGAACATAAGGTCAGTCTGAGGAGGAGATGTGAACGTGTGACTGAAGGAAGTGATGAAACAGGAAGTAGAACCCTCCTCAACAGGATCTACACTGAGCTCTACATCACAGAGGGACAGAGTGAAGAGGTGAACACCCAACATGAGGTGAGACAGCTTGAGACAGATTCTAAAAAGAAGACCCTCCATGAGACTCCAATCAAGTGTCAGGACATCTTTAAAGCCTTACCTGGCCAACAGAAAAAAAAAATGAAGCTCATCCTGATCAGCAGAAGAAGAAAAAAATACTCAACCCGACCAACAGAACCAAAAGACAGAAGCTCAACCCGACCAACAGAACCAAAAGACAGAAGCTCAACCCGACCAACAGAACCAAAAGACAGAAGCTCAACCCGACCAACAGAAACCCATCAGAGTGGTTCTGACAAACGGCGTCGCTGGTGTTGGTAAAACCTTCTCAGTACAGAAGTTCACTCTGGACTGGGCAGAGGGCTCAGAGAACCAAGAGCTCAGTCTGGTGATCCTGCTTTCATTCAGGGAGCTGAACTTGATCAGAGATAAGGAGTACAGTCTTCTTGAGGTGCTCTGTGTTTTCCATCCAACATTACAGAAGGTCACAGCAGAGACGCTCGCTGTCTGTAAACTGTTGTTCATCTTTGACGGCCTGGATGAAAGCAGACCGTCGTTGGACTTCACAAACAGTGAGGTTGTTTCTGATGTCACACAGAAGTCATCGTTAAACACACTGTTCACAAACCTCATCAAGGGGAATCTGCTTCCCTCAGCTCTCATCTGGATAACTTCTCGACCTGCAGCAGCCAATCAGATCCCTCCTTCATGTGTTGACAGGGTAACAGAAGTACGAGGCTTCACTGACGCCCAGAAGGAGGAGTACTTCAGGAGGAGGTTCAGTGATGATGAAGATCTGTCCAGCAGAATCATCTCACACATCAAGACATCCAGGAGCCTCCACATCATGTGTCTGATCCCGGTCTTCTGCTGGATCACTGCCACAGTTCTGGATCACATGATGAGCAGAGAGCAGAGAGGAGAGCTGCCCAAGACCCTGACTGACATGTACTCACACTTCCTGCTGGTTCAGACAAAGAGGAAGAAGAACAAGTATGGTGAGGGACTTCAGATGAGTCCACATGAGCTGATGGAGGCTGACAGGGAAGGTCTTCTGAAGCTGGGGAGGCTGGCGTTTGAACATCTGGAAGACGGAAACATCATGTTCTACCAAGAAGACCTGGAGCGGTGTGGTCTGGATGTCACAGAGGCCTCGGTGTACTCAGGAGTTTGTACAGAGATCTTCAAAACAGAGTGTGTGATCTTCCAGAAAACAGTCTACTGCTTTGTTCATCTGAGCGTTCAGGAGTTTCTGGCTGCAGTCTACATGTTCCACTGTTTCACCAACAGGAACACAACAGTTCTGAAGGCTTTTCTGGGAGAAATAAATGTAGATTCAACTCTTGATGTTCTCCTAAATGAAGCAATGAAGAAATCCATGAGGAGTAAAAAGGGTCACCTGGACCTGTTTGTTCGCTTCCTTCATGGACTGTCTCTAAAGTCAAACCAGAGACTCTTAAGAGGCCTGATGGGTCAGACAGACAACAGTCCAGATATGATCCAAAGAGTCATCAACAACCTGAAGGAGATGAACAGTGAAGATATCTCTCCCGACAGAAGCATCAACATCTTCCACTGTCTGACGGAGATCAACGACCTCTCAGTCCATCAGGAGATCCAAGAGTTCCTGAAGTCAGAGAACAGATCAAAGAAGGAACTCTCTGAGATCCACTGCTCTGCTCTGGCCTACATGCTGCAGATGTCCGAGGAGGTTTTGGATGAGTTGGACCTGTATAAGTACAACACATCAGAGCAGGGACGATTGAGACTGATTCCAGCTGTGAGGAACTGCAGGAAGGCAAAGTAAGTCCAGATGTTTAGCGCATTATAATTGTCATGTACTAATTTACTTATTTTAATAAAAACTAAACAATATCCTCACTGTTCACAAAATAGTGTTCCACTGTTAATGTTCAGGAGAAATAGTCAGTCATAGTTATATTCACACATAATGATTTTTTAACTTTTTGCCCTGAGTTCAAAAATAGATTTGATACTGTAGTTTTTTTTGTGAACACATTCAGAAGGGAATTTACAAAAAGGTGATTGAGATGCCTGATAGTGTTCATCCCTGAAAAGGGAGATATCAGATGCTGTGAGTGCCCCTTCCAGCCTCTGAAGGCATTATAAATCAATCACGAGCATCATCTCTCAAAATCTCAGCAGGTAGATCACAGAAAAACTGTTCTGGAAGGAGATCCTTAACTTCACTACATTTTATTCTTTGCTGATTTATTTGATTTCTGGATCATTCTGCAGCAGTCACTGTATTTTCCCGTTTATAGAAGAGAGCCAGACGGCACGAGAATGAGATCCTCCTCCTCTAGAGTTACTGTTCAATGAGTTTCAAATGGTTTTCTAATCCAGAGGAAGTCCTCTGAATAGATCACACTTTAGATCACAGACTATAGACATGATGTCATCCTAAATAAAACTACATTTGTTTCCATTCATCTGCAACATTTAGTGAATGATTGAAAGATGAAAAATGTGAAGGTTTGAAAACGAGTGATGAGACTTTTTGTGTCAGTGACAGATTCTACTGATGTGTAAAGTTAAGACCAAACAGAACATGACAAACTGTTTAATCATCAAATGTGAGACGTATATATCAAACGCTTCTTTTATGAGTCATATTTCTCTGTTATATGTGTCACAACAGACTTTCTGGCTGTGGACTCTCTGAGACTCACTGTGACGTCGTGGCCTCGGCTCTGAAGTCCAACCCCTCCCATCTCAGAGAGCTGAACCTGAGTAACAACGATCTGCAGGATTCAGGAGTGAAGCTGCTGTGTGAGGGACTGCAGAGTCCAAACTGCAGACTGGAGACTCTGAGGTCAGATCACTGACTGTAATATATATATATGTCTGTAATAGAACTGTGTTTGAATGTATTAAAGGTTAACAGCTTGAGATGCATCGTCTCATCTTTAAGGGGGTCCTAACACAAATATAAAGTAATACAGAAACATCCAAAACAGCATTACTTAACAGACACACTTACAATCACACAAACACAGACAGATATGAAATATATGATGGGATAGTTTTCTGCTTGAAGAGCTAAAAAATAAACACAAAGGAGGAAGGTCAGTCAGAGAGTTTATCATTCAAACAAGTTTAGATTGAGTTTTTATAACGTTTCTATATCCTGTCAAAGCATGAATCATCTTCATGCAGAAATTTCTGATAATGTGGAGAAAAGTTTCAAACTCTTCATGAAGATGAAAAACAACGTGCACATGAAGCCTCTGGTTTCCTCTGGTTCTGTTAAGAATTCATCTTTTATTCTTTATTCAGATTGAGTCTCTGCTGGTTTTACTTTGTCCACAGGGGGCGCTAAAACGGACACGTGATGAAAGTTCCTCACATGAGCTTTGAGTGTTTGACTCTAAGAATGATCAGGAAGAACAAAAACATGAATGAATCACAATCAAGTCCTTAAATGTTGGAATGAACAGATGATGATCACATCAGTGTGTTCATGTGGACAACATCACACATTCATGCATAAAGCTCACTGTCATCTACGTTTACATCTTTTATTCTTTATTCAGATTGATTTGCTGCAGTTTGTCAGAGATCAGCTGTTCTTCTCTGGTCTCAGCTCTGAAGTCCAACCCCTCCCATCTCAGAGAGCTGGACCTGAGGGTGAACACGCTGAAGGATTCAGGAGTGAAGCTGCTGAGAGCTCTTGAGAAGAATCCAAACTATCGACTGGAGACTCTGAGGTCAGTCTGTCAGTGTTCTTTAGTAAACCCTCCGAATATCAGGTCATAAAGAAATTTAGATTCTTATGTTTTGTCGGAGAAATCCTTTTCTGGGGTCTATACTACGAAGACAGTTCAACATACCCAGGGTTTATTTTTCTGTTATCTAGCTTCACTAACTCTGACATAAGAGATTGTGCTGAACAGTCACGTGAATCTGGTTATCAACCTGATAAGTAAACCCAGAGTTTCAGAGAGCACGTTCACATAAAAGGGGCGGAGTTAGCTTCATATGACCTATCACAATCATCACAGAGTCTGCCGTCAGCAGATCGTCATATCTAACAAACTCTGAACAAACTATATTACTAATATGAAGAAGTTTAAGACAAACAGGCTCCCAAAGACTAAAGTTACACAGCTGCAGGAACAACTGGCAGAAAAAAGAAACATCAGAGAGTATTAATGTCCAAACTACGGCTTCAGTGTTAAAGTACAAAGGTGGAGTGAGGGTGGAGCTTAGTTACAGCGCTGTGGGGGAATCTGATGACGGGGGTCTGTGTAGAAAATGATTTAAGATTTCTGTGATCTCTCTTCTTCTCTCATTAGATGCAGGAGATGATCACTGACAGAATGTGAGCCATCAGGACGCTGGTGGTGCAGAGAGGAGCAGCTGTGTCCTGATGATCCACAGAGGATGAAGCAGCAGCTCCACTGTCACCGTCTCCACAGAATTAACCCTGAGTGTTCCTCTGACGTGACAGAGTATCATCAGAGTTCATGGACTGCTCTGCTGCTGCTCCGTCCTGCTACACTCTCTGCAGACACACTGACACTCTTCTACACTCTACCACCTCCTCCACCTGGAATCTGCTTTCATTTGCTCTTTTCTTTTTCTTTTCTTCACAATATCTGGACACAAACCAGTCACCACCAAATTCTATTAATCAGAATTATACATTTAAAGACTTTAGTAAATATATTGATTTATTTTTCAGAGTCAACGAGAGCCCTGATTGAGTCATTAGTGCACTCCGCTCGCTCTGCCTCTCCCGTTACTGTTAACTGTGACACACGCATGCTTACGACATCCCTCCTGTAAACAATTATTTTCTGACCTCTCCTGTTAAATAATAACCTGTGCCGTGATGTAGGAAGTGCAGCTGTTTGTACCTGATCTGACCTGATAATCTGGTAATCATGCGTAACCTTCACCATAAACTCAGAGGCAGCCAATCATGGATCAGAATCTTCCTTAGTGATTCTGACTCCAGCCAATCCCTGACCAGGGATGTGTAGCCAATGAACAGCGCTCGTTCAGTGTGTGGAAATGCGCAAAGCCTTAAGGGGAGTGGCCACACCCCCCAAAGTAAATGCAGATACACTGGGATCGTCTCAGTTCCCTTAATTGCATCCAAGCATCCTCCACTTGCGTCTTAGTCCCTCCCACCAGAGATGCACGGAGAGACGTAAGGAAACGAAGCAGAGGAGAGAGGAACGAGGAAATGTGTTTTAAGAGACATGACGTCCGTGTGTTATGATGACATCAGCTGATCACAGCTCAGCTGTCAGTCGTCTTTAACAGCTGTTTGTATTATTTCTAATCAAATACACACAGTAACAGTGTTTAGTCTCTTTATGTTACCTGATAACAAACACCTGCACAAGAAGAACGACCTGCAGTCTGCTAATAAAACAAACACACAGACCATTTCTACACAAAGCTTTAATATTTGATTATTTATTAGTTATTAGTTTTTACTGATAATCTGACAGTGAACTCTGTTTTTTATAAACACTTAGGATGTCTCAGGATTATTGACAACAGGATGCAGAACATTTTCAAACTCTACGATCGTTAACGATCATGATGAATGTAAAACGTGTTTCTGACTGACTCCTCCCACTCTGTCTGACTCATTCTCATCATGATTAAATTAAAAACAGCAAACAGTATGAGTGATCATGAAAATAAATATGAGCTGTTCTAATGATGACATAAGATATGGTGCTGAACGATATGTGATATTATAGACTAATACTTCATATTTGGTTGTTACTCTTCATGTCAAACACTTCTTTAATCCCAGCTCATCACAGACTCTGACATGTTTACAGTCTGTTTCAAAGTCTGATGGTCCGTTTAACCTCTTTTTAATGTCCGTCTTTTCTCCGTTATTAAACTTTGTAGATGTTGAGAAGTTTCGTCGAAGTCTGATCCGCTGCAGTGTCCAATCAGTGAGTGATATTTCAGACGGGGGCGGGTCTGTCAGTAAAAAGACTTCCGTAAAGTCAGCTCTCGTAAGTCAGTAAATTGTTTTGCAAAATAAAAATGTTGAAATAAAAGAAAAAGATTAAAGGCTGGATGATTTCAAGTTATTTATTTAATAAAATACAGTTGAGGAAAAAGAGGAGTTTAAAGCGTGATCGATACAGTTTCTTTTATTCTTATAAGAAGCACACTGCAGCCGGCTTACAAACAGAAACATGAAAAAATATAAATGTTTTTATGTGGAAATGTTGTAAAATATTTGAGAGGTGTAGAGAGAGTTTCATTCAAGAAGCTTTTCTTCAGTCTGGAGTCAGTAATGCAGTCTGACATTATCCATTTCAAACTAACTGAATAATGAAAAGGAAAGAAACAGGAAGTGGAGCCAACATAGAAAAACAAGGAAAGAGACATTTCAAACCAGCTGTTTTTAAAATCCCCATCTCCCAATTCATGATATTTACTCTTCTCTCTGATTGCAGGAAACTTGAAGTCTGTAACAGCGACATGAAAGCAGATAAGAAACCGCTCTGCTCATCTTCATGATGAAGATATTTTCATTTTAGTTATAAATCCAGAATTTCATTCAAGGTCTTCACAGAAGATTCATAAAGGACCCTGTGGACGAGAGGGAAGCAGAATTTTTTAGTGATAAATAAATGTCTTGACCTAAAGATGATCTCATGTCAGCGTCTCCCTCCCTCTCACCTCGGGATGTCTCTGCTGTCCTTACATGTGAAGGCATGTTTGTGAAGCTGCTGCTGGACTGAAGCTGCCGCGCTCTTCAAACTCGCTTTACACTGACCTGCTGAAGGATTTCAGATAAGAAGTGAGATTAATGTTAGCCAGGAAACCAGAACTGACACATATCTGATCCGTCTTTGAGTAGAAATGCTCAAATGTCACGTAGGCTCACTGTGTTTGATGACGGCCAAGACGTGTAGGATGGAGGCCAGATTATTCAGACTGCTGATGTCCTCGGAGTCCAAAGTTGAGCTAACCTCGGTCAAAAACGCCCTGAAAGAAACCGCAGAGATTAATCAAGGCTTCTGTTTTAACATGTTTAAGAGTAAAGGTCCAACCAGTGAGCTGTGTAGAGAGTGAGATGATAAAGGTATCTTACTCTCTGATCATTAAGGAAACATGCTATGTTGAAGTGCTGGCTTCTCTGACAACAATGCAGCAGCCAGTATGTCCTCCTTCTAACTTTACATTCTGCTCCTGAATGCTCTGGATTTGTTTGGACCAGAGAAGGTAGGCGCTTTTAAGACACGCCCCAACATGGCTGTTTTGGACGCCCTTCGGTTTGCCAGATATGAGAGCAGTTATCAGGTCAACAGGTGTTGCAGCGATGGAAGCGGTCAAGAGAAGTGGTTCAGATAGAAGTGATTGTACCCGACCTAAAAAGCCTCTGCATGTTTCTAATAAGCTCCACGAGCAGAAACGTGCTCAAACTAGGATCAATATTGGAGATGCTTTTGAAAAATGGAGAGAGGTTAGAACACAGAAAGGTTTACAGACCCATGCAGAGCTGGATAAACACTGAAGCTTCAGAGTCCACCACATGGTGACCTGAGTGAGCATCCACTCTAGAGAGGGGAGAGGGGAGGGGGAAACAGCTCTCTATAATGTTTAGAATTTAGACTGCAGTACCCATTTTAACCACTAGGACGTTCAACAGGCTGCTGGCATGTTCAGTTAGGCTCGCGGAGGAGAAACTGGATGTTTACCTGGTAACACAGGGTGATTTAAGGATGACAGACAGCAGAACGCTGGACAGAGGGGGCATGTCCTCCACTGACTCTGGAGTGATCATCTCCTCGGGATGGCTCATCTTTAAAAAGCACAACATTCATCACAACTGGAAAAGGCCGTACTCTTGCTTGTGTCTCTTATGGGCTCTGCTTTGGATGTTACTCCTACCTTTTGAAGCAAATGTGTCTTCTCTACAATGATGACAGCAAAGAGAGTAGAAAAGACCCCACAGAGAGGCTCTCTGCCCCAAGTCTGAGCCACCTGGAGGAAATCTGCCAGACCAGGAACGGCTGCCTGACACAGCTAAGTCAGCAAACAAACAGAGAGGGGTTTACGACATTAAAAAAACATGAGTAAATAATGCAGCGCTGAAAAAGCTGGAGATGCAGAAATAGAAAGAATAGAAAGACCAGGTGCATTAAAGATGTAAAGAAGAAATAAACCCAATTTAAGTGGACAAAATTAATTAAAAAAAAACAACCTAGAGGGGTTAAAATGTATTCATACCTGCTTCCCTTTCTCGGGTTCCTTCCTGAGACGGCGAGCTAGGAGCTCTATGATCACCTGGAAGATTTTAGCCACCATGCCCAGATTGAAACTTGTTGGGTCCTCCTGGTTTTCCAGATCCCGCTCGTTCTCCACGGGCACAAAGGCGTCAGTCACCACCTCCTTCAAAATGTGCAGCACGGCAGGAACGCAGAGATAGCCTGCATCTGGAAACACCAGCACACCACAGAACTGTCAGAGACGATTCAAAGGGGATTCTGTTACTTCCTCTAACACTTGAAACACTCACCTGAGACCAGTGTGAGCAGGCACAGGTGGAGAATTTGATCTTTGAACGCCTTATCAGCCAAACCCACCAGAATAACATCTCGACACACCGTCAGGAAACTCTGCAGGAAAAACATCATCGATATGATCAACGGCAAAGAGAAAAGACACCGAGTCAAGCATTTTAAACCGTACTACAACACTAATAATAATACATTTGATTTATAACATACTTTACATTTAAACAAAAATCTGTGAAAAGTGCTACAATTTCAATAAAACCATAAAACAGTAGCAATAGTCAAAGGTAAAATCAGAGTTAAGAACCTAAGCATTAAACAAGATCTAAAAGCAGGTTTAAAGGAAAAGGTCTGCAGGTCTAAAAGAGAAGACTCTTTTAAAGAGGAGAGTTTTCAAGTCCTTTTTAAAGGAGTCCAATGTCTGTGGGGCTCTCGAGTAGTCAGGAAGAGCATTGCATGTTGTGGATGTTTGTGTCTGGTACGGGAGAGCAGCTTTGTCTTCCTTGTACACCTGAAGGACGGAGCGTTGGTACATCTTTCTCTATGAGGCCGTACTTCTTATTTCTGCTCTCTGCTGATTCCTGAATCTGTCAGCAGCTGCAAATTTCCATCTCAAGGACTCATCGTGTGTCACTCCATGAACTCGCTCGGTCTCTGGGTCAAAGAGCGTTCAGAGTGTTTGCTCCGTTGTTTAGGTCTGAGCTGCAGTCACCTTAAACTTAAGCGTTTATTCGGCTTGTTAGAATTGAAAAGCAGGATAAAGAATCGTTTGACGACTGTGTGCTCATGTTTCTCTGATGAACGCTTCTGATTTGGTGATTGATGTAAAATCTGTAAATTGTCCTTCGTTGTTCTTTGTTCTAGCAGGAGCTGGTGCTACTCTGGAACAGTTTTTTTTCTTCTTCTGGTCCAGAGCCACAAAGAACTGGTGCTAGCTTAGGCTCTGGAACTGGCTTGGTGGAAAAGGGGGGTGTGAGACTTTGATGCTGTTCTTGAAGAAGAGATCTTGTATATTCTCCTGGAACAATAAAATAAAAACGTTTGCAGGAGTGAAAGTAGAGCTCACCTCTGTGATCTTTGCAGCCAGTTGCTGCGTCGTCTCTGAATCCTCGCTGTCTTCCTGGTTGCTGGGTTTAGCCATGAAGGGCAGGACCTCCTCAGCTACCCACGATGCCACTCGCTCCGTAGAGAGCAGGTAGTCTCGACCCTCTGAGAACTAGAAAAAAAGACAAACAGGGTCTTTTTTAAAAAACTTTTTTCTTTCTTAGTTTGTTTTTGTGGGTTCAATATAAAGAAGAAAAAACATTTAAGACACCAGTTACTCGGGTCGACTTGGGACATTTCTGGGCGGAGCTGGTGTGTTTCCTCCAGCCAATGACAGCGCAGCAGGTGAGTTTAGGAGTGGATACAATTCAGTGATTGGGCGAGATTCAAACCGGTGAATGAAGCAGGTGTAGCAGCGAAGAAGAGAAAGTGTATTCATGAACCGTTTTAACATCTGCACTCCTGAAAATATCGAGATACTTTCAGGAGGACTGATCCTGAAATCCTCCTGACCTGTTCACACATGCTCCTCACAGCGGGAGACTCTCACTGTCAGAGAGGGGGTGGGGGGTGTTTGTGTTCACATGTGAAAACATCAGGAGTGTTTCAGGAGTTTTCTGCAGGTGTGAAAGAACTATATGACTCAACACTTCAAAATGACAACGAGGTCTAGAGATAATATTTGAACAAAAAGAGGCAAAACTCTTTGAATGGAGGACTGCAGCATCGTGGAGCAAAAGGAGGGAAATGTAATAAATCTGAAATATGAGGAGCTCACGTTGTGCTGCAGATGTGCACTGAGGCGGCCGTGGTACATGAACACTCTCAGAGCTGTCTCCACTTCAGGCCTTTCCGGGTCTTCTGAGGCCGAGCTGAGGTGGCTGTTCAGCACCGACTGTCGGGACAAACCCAGAGTGGAATTTAAAATAAATCATATTTGACCAACATGTGTTCAGGGCTGAAAATAAATGTGCTAAAGCGGAGACACACCTGCCAGTTTCCTAGAACTGTATGGAGCTGCTTCAGTGGCCCCTCCCCCACAGACAGAACTTTCTCCCGTGTCGATGTGTGGTTGAACAGATACTCCAGGTAGGTCAGTGCCAGGTCGGGTTTGGCCTCCACCGTCTCCTGGATACGCACCTTTCGATTAGCGTTCCCCTTATCCTGAAGTTAAGAGACATTTTTACAAAGAGCTACCAACAAGTGAAGTCATTTAAAAAGAAAACTCTGAGAGACCGGACACATCGTTTCAGGGCCCTGCCACAGGTGTTTAGGGTTGCCTTCACTGACCCCGTGTTTGGGCAGGGCGTCAGAGAGCCAGTCGGTGGTGAGTTCGAGGACGTCGGCACACAGACCCCAGCTGCACATGCAGTGTAACAGCTGGCTGTACTGTGCAGGAGCTGCTCCAGAGTCCATTCTCCGCAGTCTGGAGAGAACGCCACAGCTGAGAACAAGACGACAGGATGAGACCAAGTCAGAAAAACAGAATATTAAAAAACAAACAGAAAGCATGCATAAAAGTAAATAAATGTTCAACCTTTCAGCTCTTAACAATGTCACTTTCGGGAGAAGCCTGCGATCAAACCAAGTAGGCTTTCCCTCCTCGTCGAGGATCAGAGGAGAGCTTTACGTTTTCTCAATTTCATTTTTTCCCCCACTTATTTTTTGGGTCGCCCAAATTCACACACAGCCACCGCTCCACAGACACTCCAAGCTGTGCTCTGGTGTTATTTTACAGCGACCACCTCTGTGCGATCGGGCCTTAAGTCGGTTGTTTGGATCGTTGAAAAATTATTTCATAGAAGTCGACTATTTTAAAAATGGAAGACGCGTTCTGTTTTTTGTTTTGTTATCCTGAAAAGATCGAGTTTACTTCTCCATGAAGTGACCAAAGAAATGATTTCAAAATAAAGTTGTCTTTCTTTAAAAAAACAAAGAGAAAGGTGACGATATGAGACACCTGAATGTTGGGACTGCAGCTGGAGGCATGAAGGAGGCGAGCTGTACGAGTGGAGCGGTGCATTGTTCATCCTGAAAAATAAACACACAGCGTCAAGAGACGTAAATGATTGAATAACTTA